ACTGTATACATATACAGTTTGAAATATTTTCATCAAACTGATTAACATAACTTTCATGTCATTTTCTTAGTTATTGTATTAAGACATTTATATTCTACTTTTAGAAAGATTCACTTGTACCCTTGTAAGAAAAACCATAGAGGTGATTCCAAAAATCACATTACAACAAAGATATCTGTATCAGAATGTTTATTGCAGCCAAATTCATAATTGCTAGGTCATGGAAGAAGTCCAAGTGCCCATCAACCCATGAATGGATCAATAAATTGCGGTATATGTACACCATGGAATATTATGCAGCCCCAAAGAAAGATGAAGACTTTACCTTCTTCATGTTCACATGGATGGAGCTGGAAAATGTTCTTCTTAGCAAAGTATCTCAAGAATGGAAGAAAAAGTATCCAATGTACTTAGCCCTATTATGAAACTAATTTATAGCTTAATTTTCTTCTTTCACTGATGCCTAACTTTCTTTCAGTTTGGCTCTCAACCTTTTCCATGAAATCATTTATAAATACTTAGGCCCACAAAGGCCTCTCCACTTCATGGCCTCTTTTTGAATTTATAGATACAACCTGGCTTTTGATTTGCATCATTTATATACACTGTATATCTCAGTTAGAGTGTAAATTGGAGCTTAGTTCCTCATTTCTTAAATTTGTGTTGGTGTTGTGACTTGCTCTAACTAAAGGAATGTGGTGGAAGTAGTAGCTTGCAAGTTCCAAGTGAGGCCTAGAGGAGTTTGCACCTCTGCTCTTGCTCTCCGGGAACTCTGTCAAGAAGCCGCATAAATGACCTGGGTCAGACTGCTGATGGCTGAGAGGTCACATGAGCAGAGAAGAGCAAGGCAAGCCAAGGAAATTGAGTCCAGTCAATCCTTAGCCAGTCTAGCAAGTGATTGTGAAGTATGAGTGAGACCAGCTGAACCTATCCTAAACGGGGATTCTGTGGGAACTTGAGCTTAAGAAATAAATTGTTCTTATTTTAAGTCAATATGTTCTAGGATGATTTATTATATGGCAAAAATTGCTGCAATAATTGAACCATACGCAATGGTTTTATCCCTCTGCTGTAATACTTATCACAGTGTGCCTTATATTAGAACTAAGTATTTGTTGATCACCCCTTTGCTCCTGGAAGGTAGAGATTATATTTTATATTTATATATGCACATAGTACTTAGGTTGTACACTATACATATTAATAACAGTTACTCAGAATTTGATAAACTGAAATGAAAATCAAATTCTGATGTTCATCAGCATTATATATTAATGCTTACCATAGGAGAAAATTGCAAGCCACAGTACTGTTGAAGAATCAAATACATACTGAGAATCTACTATTGGTTTATACTTTAAAATTCCCAAATACAAAATAGAAACCATTAAAGGCCCACAATTATTAGTACTTGGAATATACATGCTGCCTTAAGATAGTCAATTAAATGAGCACATAAAGCTGTCCTCCTCAAGATTTAGGATTAACCCAAATTTCGATTGTGACAGAAAGATACACATATATTTGACATTTGCAAGTGAAGGTGTACTTTTATGAAGTGATAAATATAGAAAATTTAAAATGTTAAAGAAGGAGATTTTGATTTGTATTGTATAATTCACATCATTATTAATAGCAGGTTTTCTAAACCCAGAAATCTGACAAATGAGACTTAACTCATTTGTACTTTCACTCTGAAGTGCCATACAAATGTAAAATATCATGAAAGCTTGTGTATTCAAAATGTCATTTCTCTTTTTTCCTTAAGAAGTAGGGAAGTGAGTATAGACAGGACAGGTGAGAAAGGATGAATAGTTTTGCTATCCAAATATAATTTTCCTCCTAATGAAATTCTACAGCTTTTAAATGACACTCTGTCATTATAGTCTATACAAAGATGACTTCATAAAATATTCCATGTTTTGAATATTTTTAAAATTATCACTTAATTGATACTGTCTGAAACGCTCTAAAACAAGAGAACATGAAACGATGATTAGAATGAATATCCTCATAAACTAGTGAGGCATATACACTCAATGACAGTAAAAGAATATACCCATATGCTGCACTGGGGCCAGATTCCTTCTTTCAGGGGTGTATACCCTATAATTTGCCTAAACTTTATTTTAACTTCTTCCTTTAACTTCTGCCATTCCTGTTTAATGTTTTTATCTTCAACTTAAACAGGCATAATGGTTAAATCTGTTCATAAGCTACATAACTGAATCAGTACCTAAAACGGTTTAAACTGGTCATTTTAGAATTTAACAATCTGTGATGTTAATAATATGTCTGAAAGAAAAACATGGACCAATGAGAGTAGTCTCCAGTTTTGATTCATTAAATCAGTCATGCAAAGACTACTAGATGAATAACAATGCTAAATGTGAAAAAGACTCAATAGGAAGCTCAATAAATGAAGACCTGAAAGCCCATCTCCCCGAATTGGGGATGCATTAATAAAAAACCAGATTGCATTAATGTACACAGCTATCATTTAATAAAGAAAAAAATAAAAACAAAAAACCAAAGATTCAAAAGGTCAAAGTTAAGTGAAATAGATTTCAGGCAACTTAACAAATACCTCTCTAATAACCATATTATCCTAAGGTAGAACTTGCTGTTTTGGGACAATGAGTTCTCCTAAAGGAGGATATTCAAACATAGTCTGGAGTGCTGTGTAGGATTCTTATGAAAGGATCAAGCCAAAAGTTATACTACATGATTTTTAAGATTTGCCTCAGCTCCCAAATTCAAACATTCTATTTAGGATTCTAAAGACTACATGCAAAAGGACACTTAAATCATGCCTCATTTAGTGTAACAATACCACCCCTAAAAATACACTCCCAGGCTTTCTATCTGTACAGGTAGTTTGAGCAACTCTATAGTTAAGAAGTCTCCTTTTAAAAGGTGCCCACTCTAAATAAGCTCTGAGTATGTCTAAAATGAGCTGAAAAGAAATAAATATGTTCAGCATTGTATGTGGAAAGATCATTATTCACAATGATTCAAGCTACCTAAGCCTTGATAATAATGCTCTCTGACCAAGAGCTGAGGAAGTTTTCCAAATGACCTTTGTTAGAAAAAGTATCCCTTTAAGCTCCTTTCATAGAGAGAGATATAAGTAGAAATTAGGTGGTAGATTCAATGGAAACGGGCATACTCTTTTATTATCAGTAAAATTTTGGAGTTTTGGTTTCAACTATTTTGAGAACAGAAATGCAATAGAAAATGGGAACTTAAGTATAAATAATAGTGCTCACTGAGAGCTTACAAGTACTTGAGTATTCATCCCCAGCTCAGATCCACCTTATTTTGGCTGTGCTTTTTAACTTACTCCCTTAGTTAACATTTTCTGTGAACACTAGTTGCTTTCCATAGGGACCAGAACCACAAACTAGAGAAAATGACTACACTTCCTTTTCAGGAATAGTGAGAATGGAAAAAATTTTCTTTGGATGTGTTTCTTCAATGAAATTTGATTTCTGCTTTTCAAGAAAAGACAATTGGCTTAGAAGTCTCTGGGAAGAAGAGGGGGGAAAATCCAACAGATATCACCCCATAAAACCCTAAGTAAAATCCCAAGCTTTCAATCTTACATTAGTCAAGGGGTTAAAACGTGAATGTCTCAGTTGAGTTGTTGAATCTACAGGTGGAAGGTCTTAAGTGTGGGAAGAGATACTCAATTCCATTTGTGATTGGGCTGGGAAAGCCCTTTGTGTGTCAGAGAATCCTCCACCCTGGCCCCCAAATATTAAGTTGACACACGTTTCTGGGACACAGCCTGAATCCTCAAACTTTGGCAGGTCTATAGACACACAATTTTCTGTTTTCCACTTAACAGGGCTTTCCAGAATTGTCATCAGATGACAGATTACACCACCCATCCACAAGGATTCAGGGGTGGCTCGGGCCATCCATTATGGGCTAAAAGCTGTTCCAGCATGAATCAAGTCACAGTGGTAAGGACTACCAATACAAGGGGTCCTACAGCTTTAAGAAATACCCTGGGCATCTAAAAGTTTTCAGAATGCAAACTATGTAAGCTCTGAAAACAAGAGGCACTGCATCATTATGGCAGGAGAAACAAAGCCAGACGCCTTTTAAAAACAGACAACAAAAAAAAAAGATTGTTTTAATAGGAGAGAAACATCAGTCATTGATTCTTACTTCATTCACACTTTCTATCCAACCCCATCCATCTTCAGAGTGAAGAGATGACAGAGCCCAGTTAACTCTCTCCCTCATTGAGCCCCCCGCCCATCCTGCTCCACTATATCCAAACCATCAAGGCCTACCAACCCATCCATTTCAGTGTGCAAGAAACGGCCCTATCGAATGACTCTTCCTATCTAATGGACTTTCTAAAGCTCAGGTGTGCCTAAGTACCAGCTTTCACCATGTTACTCTAATAGGGTTAGCATGACTGGTCGGGCCTGTGCTAAACATCTTCAAAAATGACCACTTAGTCACTCATGGCTGACCACATTCTACAAAGGAGGAGATGGGAAGACTTAAAGCAGCAGGAAAAAGTCAACAAACCAAATCAACAATCTAGAATGTAAAATGTTTCATTTTGCTTAAAAGCTGCTGGCCACATTATCTGCAAATAAATGTTCTCTGAGCAGGCAGTCTCTGCATCAGCGCACCTGCTTAGCATTGGTTTGCTGAGTTATCTTTTTGCTGTGTCTGCAGAAGCCAACTACAGCACAATGGGTCACATCACTTGAGGGTCACTTGAGTCCCTCTACTCTCTGGGTCCCTCCTCCCACCCCCTGTCTTCCCTTCTGCCCACAAAACCTTTAACTCCACCATAGCTAAGGATCCCAGATAGCTAAATAAAAGAGGTGGCCTCAAACACAGGGAAAAACCCTTAGGTCTCCAGTGTGAATCGCCAATGCCAATCCCCCTTCCCTCCCCTTTTCCTTAAGACCTGATGGTCTTCAGTCACACATCTTAAAAGAAAAACAAAAAACAAAAACACAAAGACTTACTTGTCTCAAGTCGATGAAGGCCAACTGCAGCGTGTCCTCCTGGAACCCAGGCACCGGGCCGGATCTGGCAAACTCTGTGGGAAAGAAAAGAGGATAAAAAGCGCCTTTAACTAACCATGGACAGGGAGATTGGCAGACGGATGACAGGGAAGACAAGAGAGGCTGGGGGAGAGGAGGACCAAGCTTCTAAGGAGTCATGTCTCTCTCCCTTCAGCTTCTTTGTTTGCCCTTCAAAATTCGTGTCATCAAAACACCATTAATTCCAGCATCCTGACAGCAAGGAAACTGTACTAATTCGACCTGAAATTTATTCCCATGAGCCGCGCTGGGCTTCAGAGTATTTGTTTTGTGAATGGACAAACAACTTGCAAAGGAGGAGGGAATGGGGGAGAAAAAAAGTTTTTCCTCTGAACACAATAAAATCTTCAGCTGTGAAACTCTTTTCAGTTCCGAAAGCTATTTATATTTTAGATCGCTGAAGGAATTTTCTAATTTCACGCTTGTCACCTCATTCCCCAAGCATTTATCAAAAAATATTCCCTGCCACATCATTAATTATTCCCTCACTGATTATTTGTGCTATCTTATGAGTGCATTATTGCCCCCCCCACACACATACACACATATGCATTCATGCGCGCACACACACACATACCTATAGTAGCAGAGGCTGTACCAATCCAGTACTTGGCTTTTGAGCAAAGAAGTATTTGCAGATATGAAAAGGCCCATCTGAATTAATCTCATTGCAAAATGTAGAGAATATTTTCACATTTCTGTCCTTCTAGTGTACATTCTTTGTCCTTAACTTCTATTTCCATTCCACTCTGAAACATTTTTTCTTTTCCTTCCTTTATCCTAGTTTAGTGTTAGGTCAAGTATACTACATGAATGCTATTTGCAATTTACAGTGGTGCCTTGGGTCCATGCTTGGTTTATGACTTTGGCTTCTACATTGTTAAGAAGATAACTGCACAGGGCTATAGGGACAAAAACTAGTAACAGTTAAGAATGTCAAGTTTTATTGTCCCTGAGCCCTGCTTATTACAAAATCAAAAGGTCTTAAGTTCCCTATACACACACACAGAGCAAATTCAAAAGCTAGATAGTTACTATGTCTTCAATTTTCTAGGAGAAGCCAATGTCCAATCTACTATTTACCTCAAAAACAACTCAAATTTGTTCAAAGCAAATATGAAAAAAAGAGTTTTCATTTCAATTATATTTTTTCCAGGACTATATTTAGGAAACTATATAGAGTTGGTATTATATTCTTCTCTTGAAGTTAAATAAAATTCATGAAGATACGTGCATATATCTCTAGAAAATTATTTCTAATAAGCTAGTAGCTACATAGACCCAAATGAAAATTTATAAACAATGGAATTTCTGGTCTTTAAAAATATTTTCCACCTGAGGGCTTCTTACACACAACAGGGTTTTATAAAATCCTTGCCCCACTTTTAGAAATAATGCCAACAACTTAGATTGTAAGGATTTATAGGAACAGTATGTGAAATGAAATTTAATTAATTTATTAAACTAATTAAAATATAGGGCAAATGTATTAATTACATACATTAATACAAATATATTAATTACATACATACAAATTAAATTTAATTAATTTATTAAACTAATTAAAATATAGGGTAAATGTATTAATTATATATATTGTAGACATTTCAAGTAAAAATAACTCATAAATGGAAAGACATAAACTCTGTGGCATGATTAGCAGTACTACAGTTTCTGTTTGCTTTGAGAAGAACTTTCAAATGCCATTTATAAATTCTTGCATATGAAGCCCCAGTGATATAAGTTTTAAAAGAGTAAAATTCTAAAACTGTACAAATACTTGATGAATGCCATGTTACTATTACAGAAAGCTTGATATATACTCCCTCTCTCATATCTACAATAGCCATTATGTGTGATAGCCTTGTAAACAGGAGCTATTTGAGTCAAATGCACAATTTGCCCATACTATGCTCCTATTAACAGCAGTTCTTCGAATTATAGCTACAGCCACTCTTTCACAGCCCTGATCATTAGGTGGTCAGCTTAAATATGCTTTCTATGCTTAATGGTTTCTTCCATGGTTAGTAGATTATCACTACAAATACTGCATGGCTCAAGTCTATGCTGAGTCATTGGAAGCATTTGAAGCTCTCTTTGTCAGTAAGAACCTTAGTAAGTAAAAATGCAGCAACTATCAACACATTCTGCTGTCTTATATGTGTCCAACTCAACAGAATTATCCTGTGATACATATTTGAAAGCTTGGGAGCTGGCAACACATTTTTGCATTTCCTTATTGGGCATGATCCTTGGGGCTAACAGATGAAGCTGATGAAACAAACCATTTAGGAATCGGGATGTGATACATATTTAGTTCTCAGAGTCACTTTATAGACCTCATTTTTATGACACACTGAATCTTCTAGGTTCCCAAAGAATATGATGTCCTGAGATTTGATTTCCCCTTTTATAAATCAGGGAATCAAAGAATGACAATCACATTAAGTATAACACAGTGAAGAGACTAATTTTCATGTTCAGCTTATGAAACCAAGTATTGTATATTCAAATTCGTATTTGTGTTTTCTGTCATTGCTTTCATTCTTGTTTTCCCATGTAGACTGCAAACTCCTTATGAATTACTATAAGATTACCATGCAAAACCTAACAAGTATTTAAAATAGCAGATGCTTAATAAATGTTTTGTTTTTAATTAAGTAAGTTGCACAAATAGCAAGATTCATTAACCTCATACACTCTTCACTGACTAAAATAAATCTCTAGATTGCAATAGATAAAAGAGTTCTTAATTTTAGTATCAATGAGCAGGCTTTAGGAATTCATGAGTTCCCTAAAATTATAAATTATATGCACAATGATTAAGGGATTGTCTTTGGGTCATAAAAATCAGAGTTTGAGCCTCAGCGCTTCACTTACTAGCTCAGGTGCTTGCACAAATTACTTAATCTCTTTCAGTATTTTTATCTCAAAAATGAAGATAATAACAGAGCATTTTTATAGTGCTGCTATGAGGATTAGATGAAATAAGACATGCAAAGCAGTTGGCAGAGTGCCCAGCATATCATAATTGATTATCATTATAATTAGTTTTTGTATAAATATGCATTTCTCTGCAGAGATGGTTTATAACTTTCATTGAATTCTCAGAGGGTTGGTGACTCAAAAAAAGTTTAAAACTACTGCTATATATTAAGGACAAAACATTAGAATAAATTTAGCTATCTTTCAGCGACAAGTCAGTAAGTTGTCAGTGCAAATTTATTTATAGACAAATATTTAATTGTTTCATTTATAGAAAGTTACTAGTGTGTTGGGCACAGAATAATAATTTTTATTAGTATTATCAAACAATTTAATAAATGTATAAAATAGCTCTCCTGTAACTTTGTGACTCAATAAGTGTTTACAAACATGACTATCCTCTTAAGAGTCAACTTTTTAAATATATGAAAAATAGTAACAGCATGAGAAAATATAAAAAGATAAAATTAGAACTTGTATATATTCTTGTTTCGACTATATAAAATACAGTATGCACAGATATTACAACAAGCACTCCATAAGTTATAAGGTTATAAGAAATTTTTTATTCTTTGTATATTATAAACTTTAAAAATGAATTCAAATCACTTTTATAACCTGAGAAAAGAAAACTGAAGAGCACACACACACAGACATTAGTGTGTATGCTGATGTAGCAGTATCTCATTTAGTGATAGAGATATAAATTGCTCAAGAGACAGCATTTTTCTTCTTAGTAAAGTATCTCAAGAATGGAAAAAAAAGTATCCAATGTATTTCATATACTATGAAATCAGTATATAATCACCCACACATTCATAGGAATAGTAAAACATAACTATAGTCCAGAAAGAAGGAGGGAAAAGGAAAGAGAGAGCAGGAGAGAGGCCAGGAGAAGGGAGGGTATTTGCTATTTGCAGAGATCCAACCTGATGTGCATAATGCAATGATACATTTCTAAACAACTAGGAATAGAATATGAATGTTTTTACCACAACAAATAAGTAAGCAAGAAGACGGTTATATTAATCAGTTAGATATAAGCATTCCACATTGTATATCAAATCAGCACATTGTATATCAAATCAGCACATTGTACCCCATAAATGCATTAATGTACACAGTTATGACTTAAAAAAAGAAATTTTAAAAATAGACCGCATTAAAGGCAACTGGGATAGGTCTGCACACTCAAATTCTCAGATGCTGCCTGATAGAGAGACAGGAGGAGAATCACACATGAGACAAGGGTGAGAGGCTCCCAGTTGCATGTAATATGCTGATACACCCACAAACTGATTATAGATACATTTTCCTTTAAAGTCATGAAAAAAAACCTTTGTAGACTTGTCTTTGATTCTAGGATCTATAATAGTATTCAGTCTCTAAGTGATGGAAACTAGCACCAAGTTTTCAAGGAATAAGAAAGGAAATCAAGGTGCTTGCTCTATTAACATAGAAACACACCTTACCTTTGACCAACTCTTGTTACTTGGGGACTGAATCAAAGTTCCAGAGAGGCTGGCAAGGTTGCTCCCTCTTGGAAAACTTGTTCAGCTTAGTAGAGTCTCTGACCAGCACCAACTCATTCTCCAGAAAGTTTGGCTTTCCCCTGCAGCTCTACCCTGCCCTTGTCCAGTCATGCATGGTAGGGACTCACAGAGTCTAAGCTGGTATCAGGGCCTGACTCCAAGATCCAATTTGCAAATATGCAAAATCTTTCAATGAGGAAATTGCCAGGCCATTGAAGTTTATGAAGAAAATACTAGTTTAATTTTTATTAAAAACAATTAAAATGCCTATAGTCCTAGCTACTTGGGAGACTAAGGCAGGATTGCCTGAGCCCAGGAGTTTGAAGTTACAGTGAGCTATAATCATGCCACTATACTCCAGCCTGTGTGACAGAATGAGACCCTGTCTCAAAGAAAAAAAACTAAAAGAAGATGTACACAAGAATGAAACAAGTGTCTAATGTATTTAATACTAATATGAAACCAGTAGATGAACTAAT